CTTGTTTACAATATACAGGAAGTGATGGGGCTTGTTAACAATATACAGAAAGTGATGGGGCTTGTTTGCAATTTACAGAAAGTGATGGGGCTTATTTACAATATACAGGAAGTGATGAGGCTTGTTTACAATATACAGAAAGTGATGAGGCATGTTTACAATATACAGGAAGTGATGGGGCTTGTTTACAATATACAAAAAGGACAGGGACTTGTTTACAATATACAGGAAGTGATGGGGCTTGTTAACAATATACAGAAAGTGATGGGGCTTGTTTGCAATTTACAGAAAGTGATGGGGCTTATTTACAATATACAGGAAGTGACATTGGTTATACAATAATTAACGTATGTGATGAGGCTTGTTTACAATATACAGGAAGTGATGAGGCATGTTTACAATATACAGGAAGTGATGGGGCTTGTTTACAATTTACAGGAAGGACTGAGGCTTGTTTACAATATACAGGAAGTGATGGGGCCTATTTACATTATACAGAAAGTGATGAGGCTTGTTTACAATATACAGAAAGTGATGAGGCATGTTTACAATATACAGGAAGTGATGGGGCTTGTTTACAATATACAGGAAGGACTGAGGCTTGTTTACAATATACAGGAAGTGATGGGGCCTGTTTACAATATACAGAAAGTGATGAGGCTTGTTTACAATATACAGAAAGTGATGAGGCTTGTTTACAATATACAGGAAGTGATGGGGCTTGTTTACAATATACAGGAAGGACAGGGACTTGTTTACAATATACAGGAAGGACAGGGTCTTGTTTACTATGCACAAGAAGGACCTTAGTTATAAAAGGTGTTTGTAAACTGAACAATTCTCCTGTAATCTATTAATTACATCTTGTTTACCTTGTTGTCCTTGTGTTTTGCCCAGGCATTAAGTTGGTGTTGGTAGCCTTGATGGCCCAGAAGGCGGAGGTGAAGTACGATCCGGCCTACATTCTTCCGTCACAAATCGCAAACGCCATCAGTAACCTTGGCTTCCATGCCACTGTGCTGGAGAATGAGATGCCAGGACAGGGTATTGTTGAACTGCTGGTGTGTGTTACTTGTCTTTCATAGATTGCTTTTATGTATAACACTAAGAGCAAGTTGTGTATTACTGTTACATTTATGTATAACACTAAGAGCAAGTTGTGTATTGCTGTTAAATTTATATATAACACTAAGAGCAAGTTGTGTATTACTGTTACATTTATGTATAACACTAAGAGCAAGTTGTGTATTACTGTTAAATTTATGTATAACACTAAGAGCAAGTTGTGTATTACTGTTACATTTATGTATAACACTAAGAGCAAGTTGTGTATTACTGTTACATTTATGTATAACACTAAGAGCAAGTTGTGTATTACTGTTACATTTATGTATAACACTAAGAGCAAGTTGTGTATTACTGTTACATTTATGTATAACACTAAGAGCAAGTTGTGTATTACTGTTACATTTATGTATAACACTAAGAGCAAGTTGTGTATTACTGTTACATTTATGTATAACACTAAGAGCAAGTTGTGTATTACTGTTACATTTATGTATAACACTAAGAGCAAGTTGTGTATTACTGTTACATTTATGTATAACACTAAGAGCAAGTTGTGTATTACTGTTACATTTATGTATAACACTAAGAGCAAGTTGTGTATTACTGTTACATTTATGTATAACACTAAGAGCAAGTTGTGTATTACTGTTACATTTATGTATAACACTAAGAGCAAGTTGTGTATTACTGTTACATTTATGTATAACACTAAGAGCAAGTTGTGTATTACTGTTAAATTTATTTATAACAGAGCAAGTTGTGTATTACTGTTAAATTTATTTATAACAGAGCAAGTTGTGTATTACTGTTACATTTATGTATAACACTAAGAGCAAGTTGTGTATTACTGTTAAATTTATGTATAACACTAAGAGCAAGTTGTGTATTACTGTTAAATTTATTTATAACACTAAGAGCAAGTTGTGTATTACTGTTAAATTTATTTATAACACTAAGAGCAAGTTGTGTATTGCTGTTAAATTTATTTATAACACTAAGAGCAAATTGTGTATTACTGTTAAATTTCTTTCTTGTAAGGTTACATTTTTGTATGAGAAAAATTGAATTATTTGCAAGTTTGATAAAAGTGGCATTGACTTTACACAAAAGTTAAATTAAAACATTTCAGTTTAAAACTTAATAAAAACTTATACAGAGGCCTGAGGCATGCATATATAACGGTATTGTTGATATCTAATTTAATGATATACGAAACAGAAACATATTGTAAAATATACTTCACCTTGTATCATTGGTTCACATTTATAATTTTGACTCCACTTTTTTATGTTTTTATTTTGACCTCAAATATTCTGTGATTGGTGTTTTTATGCCAAAGTGATTTTCTGATTTCTGTAGATAAATGGGATGACCTGTTCCTCATGTGTTCACCTCATTGAGTCCTCATTAATGAAGAAACCAGGACTGATCACAGCCTCTGTAGCTTTAGCCACATGTAAAGGCAGGTTTGAGTACGACCCTGAAGTGACTGGAGCCAGACAGATCATTGATATTATTCGAGTAGGTACAATAAAAAAACCTTGACATGTGCTGGCAGTATGATGAAGTTGTCATGTGCTGGTAGTATAATGAAGTTGACATTTGCTGGCAGTATAATGAAGTTGTCATGTGCTGTCGGTATTATGAAGTTGACATGTGCTGTCGGTATAATGAAGTTGACATGTATTTGCAGTATAATGAAGTTGACATGTGCTGTCAGTATAATGAAGTTGATGTGTCCTAGCAGTATAATGAAGTTGACTTGTGTTGGCAGTATAATGAAGTTGACTTGTGTTAGCAGTATAATAAAGTTGTCATGTGCAGGCAGTATAATAAAGTTGACATGTGCTTGCAGTATAATGAAGTTGACTTGTGTTAGCAGTATAATGAAGTTGACATGTGCTGTCAGTATAATGAAGTTGACATGTGCTTGCAGTATAATGAAGTTGACTTGTGTTAGCAGTATAATGAAGTTGACATGTGCTGTCAGTATAATGAAGTTGACATGTGCTTGCAGTATAATGAAGTTGACTTGTGTTAGCAGTATAATGAAGTTGACATGTGTTGGCAGTATAATGAAGTTGTCATGTGCTGACAATATAATGAAGTTGTCATATGCTGACAGTATAATAAAGTTTACATGTGCTGGCAGTATAATAAAGTTGTCATGTGCTGGCTGTATAATAAAGTTGTCATGTGCTGGCAGAATAATGAAGTTGACATATGCTGGCAGTATAATGAAGTTGACATGTGCTGTCAGTATAATGAAGTTGATGTGTCCTAGCAGTATAATGAAGTTGACATGTGCTGGCAGTATAATGAAGTTGACCTGTGCTGGCAGTATAATTTAGTTTTACCGATTGACATGACATATTGTGCATTTTCTATTATTGTTATTTCTTTTCTAGGAGCTGGGCTTCGAGGCAGACTTGTACACGGATGACGATAAAAGTGCTTCCAGATATGATCATAGACATGAGATCAAGAGGTAACTCACCAAGCTCCAAAACAGTTTGAATTCTATTTATGGTTATTGAGAATTGATGGACCTTGCATTATCCAAATTTTGTTGATTTGAAAATAAATGTTGTTTTATATAACCTTTATTGAAGGTCACGGGTCAAATGTGTCAAAACCTTTCAACATCTTCTTCTGAATAACTGTATCCCATATGGTGATGATATTTAGCCAGTAGCAAATAGGGATAGGTAATATCAATTTCCTCCTGTAAATGACCCTGACCTGCTTTCAAGGTCATGAGCATCATATATGTAAAAACCTGTAAACAGCTCCTTCAACCTAACCAGGAGGCCCTAGGTGGTGATATTTGACCAGGAGGCCCTAGGTGGTGATATTTGACCAGGAGGCCCAAGGTGGTGATATTTGACCAGGAGGCCCTAGGTGATGATATTTGACCAGTAGCATGCTGGGATCGATAGAACAGTATAAAAAAAAATCAAGAAATGACCTTGACCTACCTTACGGTCACAGAGATCAAATGTGTATAAATCTTTAAACATCTTCAATGACTTCATCCTAATAATGAAGAGTGCCATCAAGAATGACCTTGACCTACTTGACCAAGTTTAGTTTGAAATATGGTATCCTTGCATTCCTAGGACTCAATGTTGTATGAAGGGTGGGTCTTGCTCCCCAAAGTGCAGCAGAATGGGGCTCAATAAGGGTCACCAGAGAAAAATCTTGAAATTCCTCCTTCAGTACTGATTAAGTGTTCTCAATCATTTAGTCTGGAACAATCTTAAACCAAGGAGACTCAATATGTGGAAATATTTGCAAAATCACTTTATTGAGAATATTTCCCCATTATTGCTCAAATATCCAGGTGAGCAATGCAGGACCTCAGGACCTCTTTTTAGGTCACCTGAGCTTTAGCTCAAGTGACCTATTGCTATCCGTTTTCGTCCGTCGTCGTCCGTCGTCCGTCGTCCGTCGTCCGTTAACATTTTACATTTCAAACTTAAAGTCAAGTTCTGCTGGGCCGATTGAACTGAAAGTTGGTAGGAATGATCGCCTCATGGTCCTGACAAAGTGTTGTTATTTTTCGGGTCGATCAGAAATCCAATATGGCCGCCACGGCCGCCATTTTGAAAACCTATTTCAAACTTAAAGTCAAGTTCTGCTGGACCGATTGAACTGAAAGTTGGTAGGAATGATCGCCTCATGGTCCTGACAAAGTGTTGTTATTTTTCGGGTCGATCAGAAATCCAATATGGCCGCCACGGCCGCCATTTTGAAAACCTATTTCAAACTTAAAGTCAAGTTCTGCTGGACCGATTGAACTGAAAGTTGGTAGGAATGATCGCCTCATGGTCCTGACAAAGTGTTGTTATTTTTCGGGTCGATCAGAAATCCAATATGGCCGCCACGGCCGCCATTTTGAAAACCTATTTCAAACTTAAAGTCAAGTTCTGCTGGACCGATTGAACTGAAAGTTGGTAGGAATGATCGCCTCATGGTCCTGACAAAGTGTTGTTATTTTTCGGGTCGATCAGAAATCCAATATGGCCGCCACGGCCGCCATTTTGAAAACCTATTTCAAACTTAAAGTCAAGTTCTGCTGGACCGATTGAACTGAAAGTTGGTAGGAATGATCGCCTCATGGTCCTGACAAAGTGTTGTTATTTTTCGGGTCGATCAGAAATCCAATATGGCCGCCACGGCCGCCATTTTGAAAACCTATTTCAAACTTAAAGTCAAGTTCTGCTGGACCGATTGAACTGAAAGTTGGTAGGAATGATCGCCTCATGGTCCTGACAAAGTGTTGTTATTTTTCGGGTCAATCAGAAATACAATTTGGCTGCCATGGCCGCTATTTTGCTACTAAGTTCTAATAGGCCGATCTCACTTAAAATTGGTCTAGGAATGATCAGCTCATGGTCCTGACAAAGTTAAGTTAACATTATACTATTTTTTACTCAAATTGGTACATATTTCAACAACAAAAATAAATACTGTAGACTCAGGTGACCGTTAAGGCCCATGGGCCTCTTGTTATGTTTTTATTTTACAAAGGGCAGACATAATTTTATGTGCTTATTTTACAGATGGCGGACATCATTTTTCTGGTCCCTGATATTTGGGGTGCCATCAATGGTGATAATGATGTACTTCATGTTTGCCAAGCCAACCCCAGACGTACACAGTGACATGGGAAACCTGACAGACAACATGACGACTACACCCCTTCCTCAACACTCTATGGAGGACAACCACATCATGCTGACTGCCGGTCTGTCACTTGACAACCTACTTATGTTTATACTGGCCACCCCTGTCCAGTTCTTTGGTGGAAGGATATTTTATATACAGGCGTTTAAGGCACTCAAGCACGGAGCAGCCAACATGGACGTGCTGGTTGTCCTGGCGACCACCATATCCTACCTGTACTCCATCTCGGTGGTTGTTGCAGCAATGATTTTGCAGGAGGAAGTGTCACCTATGACGTTTTTTGAGACTACACCGATGTTGATGGTGTTTATCTCTCTAGGAAGATGGCTGGAGCATGTAGCCAAGGTAATCCTGATATACTGTAAAGTAACAGATTAACAGCTAAACTGATCAAGTGTGCTAATCAAATGACCCTGTATTAGTTATATCGGATGGAAGGTCCCATTCTGGTAAGGTTTGTTGAGGGTAGACCCTTATCCTGTATATACCTGTATTCATGATCAGTTATGTTTATGTTGAGACATAAACTGATAAAATCTTCACTAAACAGTTCATTCACACACCTATGCCAGATCATTTGATGAAATGATGGAGCTTGGCCCTATTCCTGTATGTGTTCTATTGAAGAGAAAGCTGTATGCCCTGATCCTGAATAAGCTTTTGTTTGTAAAATATAAATTATATTGTAAATTTATGTATAAGACTAACCCTTTATATGTTATAGGGTGTAACTGTGTAGGGGCCTCCCCTACATGTGTTGTAGGCCCTGATCATGTTTAAATTACAGGGTAAGTTACAATTATATTTTAGGTTCTCATCTTGTGTTGTAGGGTAAGACATCGGAGGCCTTAGCCAAGCTGATGTCACTCCAGGCGGTGGAAGCTTGTCTGGTGGAAGTGGACAAAGAGGGAAACCTGTTCAACGAGAAGACAATAAGTGTGGACCTGGTACAGAGAGGGGACATCCTCAAGGTAAATCTTACAGAAAGGAGATGTCCTCAACGTAAATCTTACAGAGAGGAGATGTCCTCATGGTAAATCTTACAGAGGGGGGATGTCCTCAAGGTAAATCTACAGAGGGGGGATGTCCTCAAGGTAAATCTACAGAGGGGTGATGTTCTCAAGGTAAATCTTACAGAGAGGGGATGTCCTCATGGTAAATCTTACAGAGGGGGGATGTCCTCAAGGTAAATATTACAGATGGGGGATGTCCTCAGCGTAAATCTTACAGAGGGGGGATGTCCTCAAGGTAAATCTAAAGAGGGGGATGTCCTCAAGGTAAATCTTACAGAGAGGAGATGTCCTCATGGTAAATCTTACAGAGGGGGGATGTCCTCAAGTTAAATCTTAAAGGGGGGGGATGTCCTCAAGGTAAATCTTACAGAGAGGAGATGTCCTCATGGTAAATCTTACAGAGGGGGGATGTCCTCAAGGTAAATCTAAAGAGGGGGATGTCCTCAAGGTAAATCTTACAGAGAGGAGATGTCCTCATGGTAAATCTTACAGAGGGGGGATGTCCTCAAGTTAAATCTTAAAGGGGGGGGATGTCCTCAAGGTAAATCTTACAGAGGGTGGATGTCCTCAAGTGAATCTTACAGAGAGGGGATGTCCTCAAGGTAAATCTTACAGAGAGGAGATGTCCTCATGGTAAATCTTACAGAGGGGGGATGTCCTCAAGGTAAATCTCACAGAGAGGGGATGTCCTCATGGTAAATCTTACAGAGAGGAAATGTCCTCAAGGTAAGTCTTACAGAGGGGGATGTCATCAATGTAAATCTTACAGAAAGGAGATGTCCTCAAGGTAAATCTTACAGAGGGGGGATGTCCTCAAGGTAAATATTACAGATGGGGGATGTCCTCAACGTAAATCTTACAGAGGGGGGATGTCCTCAAGGTAAATCTTACAGAGGGGGGATGTCCTCAAGTGAATCTTACAGAGAGGGGATGTCCTCAAGGTAAATCTTACAGAGAGGAAATGTCCTCAAGGTAAATCTTACCGAGGGGGGATGTCCTCAAGGTAAATCTACAGAGGGGTGATGTTCTCAAGGTAAATCTTACAGAGAGGGGATGTCCTCATGGTAAATCTTACAGAGAGGAAATGTCCTCAAGGTAAGTCTTACAGAGGGGGATGTCATCAATGTAAATCTTACAGAGAGGAGATGTCCTCAAGGTAAATCTTACCGAGGGGGGATGTCCTCAAGGTAAATCTACAGAGGGTGGATGTCCTCAAGGTAAATCTTACAGATCCTGTACAAGATCATTTTTTAGAAAGGAAGAGGTTTTCAAAGATAAATCAGGAAGATGCATTTAAGTTTGAGAAAANTCTCAGCACATAGAAGGCTTGAATAGCCAAAGCTTAACCCCCCACACACACACACACACACACACACACCCCACACCCCACACACCTTCCTTGAAAGTCAACCCCTTAAAATTCTCTCCACTCAGGGTTATTTGGAATGATGATGTAACCGAGTGTATAATTTATCAGGTACTACCAGGAGAGAAGATTCCTGTAGATGGTAAGGTGTTGGAGGGAAGTTCTACCTGTGACGAGTCACTCATCACGGGCGAGTCAATGCCCGTCATCAAAACAGCAGGTAAAAAACCTTCCATTGCTCAAAATCCACCTACTCCTATGCTGTGTTGTTTTTATATACATTGGACCATAGATTAACTTTAAGATATTAAGGACAATGGGCTTTAAATTTCAGTACTGATTTGAGAATTCAGATTTTTGTTATGATGTGGTATGTTTTATGTAGCAGAGAACCTGTGGACAATTTATGGGTCAGGCATTCTGTAGGTATGTGCGGGTTATATACAAGAAATTACAGTAGTTAATTTATAAAAACATGATATTGTATCAGGAACAAAGTAAAATCTTTTATTTGAAAAGAAAACCTTGAATATAGTGTTACCCCAATAAATGTCAAAATAATTCAGCATCACAATAAAAAATCCAGATTTTTAGTGCAGTGATCGGAACATCTTGGAAGACATTTGTAAGTTCTGTTCTGTCGTAGGATCGTCCGTAATCGGTGGGGCTATCAATCAGAATGGAATGCTACTGGTCACGGCAACACATGTGGGGTCGGACACCACACTTTCCCAGATCGTCAGACTCGTGGAGGAAGCACAGACCTCGAAGGTAATCATTTAGCTTTCTCCGTAAATTCTACTTTTTAGCTCACCTGCCCGAAGGGCAAATGAGCTTATGCCATGGTGCGGCGTCTGTCGTCCATCAACTTTTCCTAAAAATCGCTACTTGTCATAAACGGCTGAGCAGATTTTGACCAAATTTGGTCAGAAGCATCCTTAGGGGAAGGGGAACAAATGTTGTCCACAGATGATAGTCTATCACTGTTACCTAACTGTACCGGTACTGTATTCGCTGTTTTTCCTACAGACCATGTCGGTGGAGTCCCTGGGTAAGACTACTGATTTCCAGGCTGTCCCTGGCTGCGGACTGAAGTGTCTTGTGAGTCACGTGGAAAGCCTGCTAACACATGTTGGGTCTGGCACTCCTGGGGGCTGAGGGCGGGGCCCAATAGGGGAAATATAACAAATTCTTTAAAATCCTTCTTCTTCTGTAGGAATAAAAGGTTATGTTTCATATTTGGTCTGAAGCATCATTGGCTTGGGTGGGTGAAGGGGAACCAATTTTGTATAAACTGTGGGTCTGGCCCTCCTGGGGGCTGAGGGGCGGGGCCCAATAGGGGAAATATAACAAATTCTTTAAAATCCTTCTTCTTCTGTAGGAATGAAAGGATTTGTTCCATATTTGGACTGAAGCATTCCTTGGGTGAAGGGAAACCAATTTTGTATAAACCGTGGGTCTCGCCCCCCAGGTGCCTGAGGGGCAGGGCCAAAAAGGGGGGCAATTGGGCTATATTGATTTAAACCTTTTGATATTGATTTCAACCATATTTGACTGGAAGCATCCCTCGGTAGTGGAGATTAAAAATTGTACAAATGGTTGGGCTGACTCCCCACCCTTGCAGACTTAACCCCTGAGTCATAACTTTGAAATGGTTGAGATCCCCACCCAAAGACTGTATATACAAATGCTGGACAAACAGAGACCAATGCAGTCATGATATTAGAATTGATCTTGGGGTCTGGTCACAACCCTAGGGATCTAGTTTCTGAGTCACAGCTTGAAAACAGTTGAGATTCCCACCCCATAACCATACATTAAATTGCTGGACATGAAAAATCAAATACAGCCATACTACAAGAATTGGCATTGGGGTCAGGCATATTCCCTTGGATCTCATTTGCAGAATATTTTGCCATGATTGCTTAGATATCCAGGTGAGCGATACAGGCCCTCTGGGCCTCTTGTTATTGTACCTATTTATTAAAACCTCTCAATTTACCTTGTACTTTGAGAACAGGCATTTTCTCTGAACCCTATATAAATGGAGCAATAGTGCCTGGTGAGGTAGACTGTTGGCACAGGTTTAGATAGAAAGTGTTAGCATGAAAGGAAACCGTAGTGATGAGAAACAATGGAGAAAACCTGACGATAACATGTGGTGGTTTGAGTATCAGACATTTCTTGTTACAGGCGCCGATACAACAGTTAGCAGACACCATTGCAGGCTACTTCGTTCCTGTCGTGTGTTCATTGTCCATCCTCACCCTCATCAGCTGGGTCATTGTTGGTTACACCAACATCTACCTGGTAGATCCATACTTTGAGGTAAGCTATCTGATTAAGTCATACTTGCAGGTAAGTTACCTGGCTGAAGCACACTTTCAGGTAATTCCTAAGTTACCTGTCTGAACCACACTTTCAGGTAATTTACCTCTTTCTCATGATTAGTTGACCTGATTTACCTGTTCTGTGAGGTAATTATAAGGTGATCTTTTAGCTTTCAGCTTTTACATTACATAATTTGACATTTGCTAATAGTTAAGAAGGTGATCCCAACTGTTGCCAGGTATGAGGTTACTGATACTCTCACCATTTACACAGGAGAACGGCCCAGTGTCAGTCAATGAAGCCGTGTTCCAGAAGGCATTTCAGTACGCCATCACAGTACTGAGTATCGCGTGTCCTTGTGCCCTTGGACTTGCCACACCCACAGCTGTCATGGTGGGTACTGGGGTCGGAGCGACAAACGGTATCCTCATCAAGGGTGGAGAACCCCTGGAAATGGCCCATAAGGTAGGTTGTAATCCACTGACGGAAACACACTGGTTTCCTCTAGATTTAAGACCAAAAAATGGCAAATTAAAAAATTGAGTTATCAAATATATAATGTCCCCTATTATTTTGATATATCTCACTGATTTAAGCTCATCTGCGGGGAGTTTGTGGCAGGACCTAAAAGGAAAAATAGGGGTCTCATTTAGTACAGCAAAAAGATATAACCCTGATTCATTATAAAGTATCTTAGGTCAAATGGACTTAGAATAAATGAAGAGAGTGGCCCTCCTGATAGGGATGGGGACTGTTAGGGGAATTTGATCAAATCATTAAAGACTTAGGCAAAAAGTCATTACATTCCACATGATATCAGTAAAGAACAGGTGAGCTATACAGGCCACTGGACCTCTTGTTAGCTAGCCCTGTCATTTTGAGATGTCTCCTCCTCCTCCCTCATTATTAAACACCCTTTCCATGTTGAGATCTCCTGATCTACCCCATTACTTTTAAGGAGTTCTATGCCATTAACTACTGACCTGGTTTTATTGACAGATTAAGTGTGTGGTATTCGACAAGACCGGGACTGTCACCCACGGAGTGGCCCGAGTGGCCCGCGTTTCTATGTTTGTTGGGGAGGAAGTGTGCTCCTTCCTGAAGATGCTGGTGATCACAGGAACGGCGGAGGCCAGCAGTGAACATCCTATCGCTTCTGCCATTGTCAAGTACACGAAGGAGGTGAGCAAGGGAAAAGTCAGACCTATCTCTCTTAATTAACTGAAATATCTATAAATTGTGCTGTTTTTCTGTTAGTTCTGGATAAACATGTTGTCCACAGATGATAGTCTATCACTGTTACTTAACTGTACCGGTACTGTATTCGCTGTTTTTCCTACAGACCATGTCGGTGGAGTCCCTGGGTAAGACTACTGATTTCCAGGCTGTCCCTGGCTGCGGACTGAAGTGTCTTGTGAGTCACGTGGAAAGCCTGCTAACACATGTCGACCTTGTTGCTGTAAATAACAAGAAAAACCAGACAGGAAGTTTGAGGGTGAAGACAGACAACGTCATGTTTAAGGGGGACGACAATAACTCAATACATATAGAAGGTAAACAGCCAGGGAAAGGATTACAAGTCCAACTTAGAATACGAAACAACTAAAATCCCATTCTTGATTTTTTTTCTCAGAATTTCTCAACAAAACGTTGAGATTTACTTCACCAGTCAGTGTTAATTTGTGTAAAAATTATTTTGTTTAATATGTAACAAGAAATATTAGCGGATGACTAGTTTCGAGAAAATGAGAGCAAAACATTCAGTTCATTGGGAATTGAAGGGAAACCAATATTTATATTTCCTTTATGCGGGGAACAACCGCTGTTAGACTATGACATAAAAAGTGATTGCCTCAGAGGAATGTTTGATTTTGACCTACCAGGTCCCAGCAAATACACTACTTCTAAATGATACTGACCAACTTCAACAATTTGAAGATAACACTTTAGGACTGTGTACTGAATCTGTGTAAAAAAGATATATGCTAAGCTATGACTGTTCACAGACGTGGAGGTGGAGTCGTTGGGAGCTGCGGCCTCCAGACAGTACAACGTGCTGATTGGTAACCGGGAATGGATGAACAGGAACGGACTTCAGGTGACGCCAGCGATGGACCTGACAATGTCAGAGCACGAGGAGAAGGGTCACACAGCAGTGTTATGTGCCATTGACGGTATGTAACAAATAAATCTACAAGATATTGATCACATTTAATGAAATTGAAAGCTCGGAAACAGACTTTTTTCTCAAAGAATACTTGGGCTTTACTATTAACTTTTAACAAAATGAAACTGAAAAGCTATGCTACTGCATTTATCATGAGAGTTTTGAAACAAAAAGGAATTCAGACATTAAGAATTGAAAGGGATCTCGTTATATCCCGTAAGACATTCTTCGGGAATTAATATATAAAAAAAAAGTTTAAGATATGCTTGTGAAAGGTGAAATAGAGTAACCAGATTTTAATATGTTGAACTTTGACCTTCAATCCAGGCGTACTTGTTTCCATGGTAGCTGTGGCCGATACCGTAAAAAGTGAGGCTCACCTTGCTGTCAACACACTTAAACGAATGGGACTACAGGTGTTCTTACTGACTGGGGATAACCAGAAAACAGCCAAAGCCATCGCTAAACAGGTAAATACAGGCATTGATAACCAGAAAACAGCCAAATCCATCGCTTAACAGGTAAATACAGGCATTGATATCCATTAAACAGCCAAAGCCATCGCTAAACAGGTAAATACAGGCATTGATAACCAGAAAACAGCTAAAGCCATCGCTAAACTGGTAAATACGGACATTGATAACCAGAAAACAGCTAAAGCCATCGCTAAACAGGTAAATACAGACATTGATAACCAGAAAACAGCCAAAACCATCGCTAAACAGGTAAATACAGGCATTGATAACCAGAAAACAGCCAAATCCATCGCTTAACAGGTAAATACAGGCATTGATATCCATTAAACAGCCAAAGCCATCGCTAAACAGGTAAATACAGGCATTGAGAACCAGAAAACAGATAAAGCCATCACTAAACAGGTAAATACGGACATTGATAACCAGAAAACAGCTAAAGCCATCGCTAAACTGGTAAATACGGACATTGATAACCAGAAAACAGCCAATGCCATTGCTAAACAGGTAAATACGGACATTGATAACCAGAAAACAGCCAATGCCATTGCTAAACAGGTAAATACGGACATTGATAACCAGTAAACAGCCAAAGCCATCGCTAAACAGGTAAATACAGACATTGATAACCAGAAAACAGCCAAAACCATCGCTAAACAGGTAAATACAGGCATTGATAACCAGAAAACAGACAAAGCCATCGCTAAACAGGTAAATACAGGCATTGATAACCAGAAAACAGCTAAAGCCATCGCTAAACGGGTAAATACGGACATTGATAACCAGAAAACAGCCAAAGCCATCGCTAAACAGGTAAATACAGGCATTGATAACCAGAAAACAGCCAAAGCCATCGCTAAACAGGTAAATACAGGCATTGATAACCAGAAAACAGCCAAAGCCATCGCTAAACAGGTAAATACAGGCATTGATAACCAGAAAACAGCCAAAGCCATCGCTAAACAGGTAAATACAGGCATTGATAACCAGAAAACAGCCAAAGCCATCGCTAAACAGGTAAATACAGGCATTGATAACCAGAAAACAGCCAAAGCCATCGCTAAACAGGTAAATACAGGCATTGATAACCAGAAAACAGCCAAAGCCATCGCTAAACAGGTAAATACAGGCATTGATAACCAGAAAACAGCCAAAGCCATCGCTAAACAGGTAAATACAGGCATTGATAACCAGAAAACAGCCAAAGCCATCGCTAAACAGGTAAATACAGGCATTGATAACCAGAAAACAGCCAAAGCCATCGCTAAACAGGTAAATACAGGCATTGATAACCAGAAAACAGCCAAAGCCATCGCTAAACAGGTAAATACAGGCATTGATAACCAGAAAACAGCCAAAGCCATCGCTAAACAGGTAAATACAGGCATTGATAACCAGAAAACAGCCAAAGCCATCGCTAAACAGGTAAATACAGGCATTGATAACCAGAAAACAGCCAAAGCCATCGCTAAACAGGTAAATACAGGCATTGATAACCAGAAAACAGCCAAAGCCATCGCTAAACAGGTAAATACAGGCATTGATAACCAGAAAACAGCCAAAGCCATCGCTAAACAGGTAAATACAGGCATTGATAACCAGAAAACAGCCAAAGCCATCGCTAAACAGGTAAATACAGGCATTGATAACCAGAAAACAGCCAAAGCCATCGCTAAACAGGTAAATACAGGCATTGATAACCAGAAAACAGCCAAAGCCATCGCTAAACAGGTAAATACAGGCATTGATAACCAGAAAACAGCCAAAGCCATCGCTAAACAGGTAAATACAGGCATTGATAACCAGAAAACAGCCAAAGCCATCGCTAAACAGGTAAATACAGGCATTGATAACCAGAAAACAGCCAAAGCCATCGCTAAACAGGTAAATACAGGCATTGATAACCAGAAAACAGCCAAAGCCATCGCTAAACAGGTAAATACAGGCATTGATAACCAGAAAACAGCCAAAGCCATCGCTAAACAGGTAAATACAGGCATTGATAACCAGAAAACAGCCAAAGCCATCGCTAAACAGGTAAATACAGGCATTGATAACCAGAAAACAGCCAAAGCCATCGCTAAACAGGTAAATACAGGCATTGATAACCAGAAAACAGCCAAAGCCATCGCTAAACAGGTAAATACAGGCATTGATAACCAGAAAACAGCCAAAGCCATCGCTAAACAGGTAAATACAGGCATTGATAACCAGAAAACAGCCAAAGCCATCGCTAAACAGGTAAATACAGGCATTGATAACCAGAAAACAGCCAAAGCCATCGCTAAACAGGTAAATACAGGCATTGATAACCAGAAAACAGCCAAAGCCATCGCTAAACAGGTAAATACAGGCATTGATAACCAGAAAACAGCCAAAGCCATCGCTAAACAGGTAAATACAGGCATTGATAACCAGAAAACAGCCAAAGCCATCGCTAAACAGGTAAATACAGGCATTGATAACCAGAAAACAGCCAAAGCCATCGCTAAACAGGTAAATACAGGCATTGATAACCAGAAAACAGCCAAAGCCATCGCTAAACAGGTAAATACAGGCATTGATAACCAGAAAACAGCCAAAGCCATCGCTAAACAGGTAAATACAGGCATTGATAACCAGAAAACAGCCAAAGCCATCGCTAAACAGGTAAATACAGGCATTGATAACCAGAAAACAGCCAAAGCCATCGCTAAACAGGTAAATACAGGCATTGATAACCAGAAAACAGCCAAAGCCATCGCTAAACAGGTAAATACAGGCATTGATAACCAGAAAACAGCCAAAGCCATCGCTAAACAGGTAAATACAGGCATTGATAACCAGAAAACAGCCAAAGCCATCGCTAAACAGGTAAATACAGGCATTGATAACCAGAAAACAGCCAAAGCCATCGCTAAACAGGTAAATACAGGCATTGATAACCAGAAAACAGCCAAAGCCATCGCTAAACAGGTAAATACAGGCATTGATAACCAGAAAACAGCCAAAGCCATCGCTAAACAGGTAAATACAGGCATTGATAACCAGAAAACAGCCAAAGCCATCGCTAAACAGGTAAATACAGGCATTGATAACCAGAAAACAGCCAAAGCCATCGCTAAACAGGTAAATACAGGCATTGATAACCAGAAAACAGCCAAAGCCATCGCTAAACAGGTAAATACAGGCATTGATAACCAGAAAACAGCCAAAGCCATCGCTAAACAGGTAAATACAGGCATTGATAACCAGAAAACAGCCAAAGCCATCGCTAAACAGGTAAATACAGGCATTGATAACCAGAAAACAGCCAAAGCCATCGCTAAACAGGTAAATACAGGCATTGATAACCAGAAAACAGCCAAAGCCATCGCTAAACAGGTAAATACAGGCATTGATAACCAGAAAACAGCCAAAGCCATCGCTAAACAGGTAAATACAGGCATTGATAACCAGAAAACAGCCAAAGCCATCGCTAAACAGGTAAATACAGGCATTGATAACCAGAAAACAGCCAAAGCCATCGCTAAACAGGTAAATACAGGCATTGATAACCAGAAAACAGCCAAAGCCATCGCTAAACAGGTAAATACAGGCATTGATAACCAGAAAACAGCCAAAGCCATCGCTAAACAGGTAAATACAGGCATTGATAACCAGAAAACAGCCAAAGCCATCGCTAAACAGGTAAATACAGGCATTGATAACCAGAAAACAGCCAAAGCCATCGCTAAACAGGTAAATACAGGCATTGATAACCAGAAAACAGCCAAAGCCATTGCTAAACAGGTAAATACAGGCATTGATAACCAGAAAACAGCCAAAGCCATAGCTAAACAGGTAAATACAGGCATTGATAACCAGAAAACAGCCAAAGCCATCGCTAAACAGGTAAATACAGATGCTTGTGTTGAATATACATATTTATGATAAGAATATTACATTAGGGAAATTGGTGGTCCAAATATATACCTCAATACATCGATATATTATCTGTTTGTACAGGTGGGTATACATAAGGTGTTTGCAGAGGTACTGCCTTCCCACAAGGTCAAGAAGATCAAACAGCTACAGGCCCAGGGTCATAAGGTAGCAATGGTCGGGGACGGTGTCAATGACTCACCTGCCCTCGCTCAGGCGGATGTTGGCATCGCCATAGGAACTGGTACGGATGTTGCGGTGGAAGCTGCTGACATAGTTCTGATTCAGGTAAGCAGTTTGTCAGGAACATAAACCTTCGTGTCTTACTTTTGACTTAAATGGTTTTGTTAGAAGGAATTAACTGTACCATATTTATGATGGTGTGAACCTTTGTGAGGGGGAGGGGAGGTTATCACACCATCTTTGATCACTTATACAGCCCCCAACTTTATCTCAACCAACTTTAATCCATTTTGATCTCAACCAACTTTCATCCCAAAATGGATTATTGAATTCTTGTTAGGTATCAGTTTTAGTTCTGACACGTTGGCGTTTTCAAGATCCAGGTAATAGAAAAAATGACGGAACGAAAACATTTCTAACAATTTGTCAGTGTTAACAAAGTCTTGTTCAGTATTAAATCTTCCCTGTACAATCATGATGATAGTTTGTTGGTGAAGTAGGGATACGGAAATGCAATTTCATGGTTGCAATCTACTTTTACAGTTTTGACTGATGTATAAGGTTAAAGTTGTTTTCTTTATGTCACCAGAATGATTTAATGGATGTGACAGCTGCCATAAAACTATCCAAGATGACCGTGCGTAGAATTCGCATCAACTTTGTTGCTGCCTCTATCTACAACATTATAGGGATTCCCATTGCAGCAGGTTGGTTGAATGGTTTCATTTTGAAATTTAAGCTTTGTGCTTATAATTTTTCTGTGTTTGATGAAATTAGTGACAGTTTGTGAATTCCTTTGAAAGGAATACTTTTACATTTACTTGTCAAATATTTTTAATTACAAATATACAAGGCAAACCTGATCTTACCACCATTAGCAGGTCAGCTGTGTTAAGGCACCCCAATTTTTCCTACCTAGGGCTAATATAATCTATCCCTACCTTGGAGGTAAGACAGAAAAATATCAACCCAAGTGGTAAGATTATTAAATGTCTAGCCAGAGGCTTTGCAGGCATTGAGCCTGTAATTTAACATTGCATTATGTATTACGTAGCGTCAACAGGATAATAGAAAAAGATCCATTCACCCCCTTGAGATGAGACGGGGAATCTCAAACCTCGGGGGAAAGATTCTTAAGTTACCGACTTAAGAATGTTTCCCCTCTGGATTCCCCTATCTCACCCTAAGGGGATTCTACCATTGTAGGGTTTTCTGAGGGAAGTCTCTTAATATTGGTATTGCTGTATACAGTGTATATACACAGCTTGTCTATGTGTGTTAAGAGTGCTCTTTCTGACAAAAAAAGTCTAACATGAATGTGATAATGGTGTGACTTGTTCTAGGTATCTTCATGCCCGTCGGCGTGTCTCTGAAACCCTGGATGGCGTCGGCGGCTATGGCCATGTCATCTGTATCTGTTGTCATGTCATCACTGTTCATCAAAACGTAAGTATTTCTGTTCTCTCACCTTGTCCTACAATGCTGTTCACAACATGTGTACTTTGTCTTTGTGTAGGATATGTAGCAGTTTGTGTACGATCAGAAAACAGACAAAGCCGATATGTAGCCGTTTGTGTACGATATGTAGCAGTTTTTGTACGATATGTAGCAGTTAGTCTACGGTATGTAGCAGTTTGTGTATGATATGTATCAGTTTGTGTATGATATGTAGCAGATTGTGTATGATATGTAGCAGTTTATGTACGATATGTAGCAGTTTGTGTACGATATGTAGCAGTTTGTGTAGGATATGTAGCAGTTTGTGTAGGATATGTAGCAGTTTGTGTACAGTATGTAGCAGTTTGTGTACGGTATGTAGCAGTTTGTGTACGATATGTAGCAGTTTGTGTATGATATGTGTAAGGTATGTAGCAGTTTGTGTACGATATGTAGCAGTTTGTGTACGATATGTAGCAGTTTTGTGTACGATATGTAGCAGTAGTTAATGGGATGTTTAGGTTGATGGGATGTTGTAAAGATTTTTAGGATATTGTAAAAGTTTATGGGATGTTGTAAAGATGTTTGGGATATTGTAAAGGTTTATGGGATGTTTAAAGATTTAAGGATATTGTAAAGATTTTTGGGACGTTGTAAAGATTTATGGGATGTTGTAAATCTCACTGTTGTGTTTTGTTACAGATTCAAAAAAGCTAGTAGACAGAAGTATTTGACAGACAACTACATTAAACAGTTTGAGGAGGACCAAGACATGGACAACATCTCGATCCACCGCGGAATTGAGGAGGGGCGCTCCAGTCGAGAGGGTAGCAAGCAAGGCAGCATCCTGTCTCGTCTCAGCGGAAAGAAAAAGCCAGTTACAACCGACCATCTTAGCCTTCTGGATACAGCTTCACTGTCAGAGTCTGATGGAGAGGTGGAATTCATATAACTGATGGAAACTGTAACAAACAGGATCTAGCCAAATGGTTGTTACTGGTAAAACAGTATATAATGTATCACAAACACACCAGACTCTTTATGTTCTCATTGATATTAGGGTTTTTTGATATTTGGTTTTCATTTAAGATTTTGAATGTGATATTTGACTGCAGAGCAAGGTTTAGATTTGTCGGTAGATGCAACATTTCCACATGATATTTACGACTGACCTAGGTTTGTGTCTTCAAGTTAATGGTGACCAGCTGATAGTAATAACATCGGGTCAACATTCTGTTTATTAATTTGAAATAACTGCAATGTTTCATGCAACAATTCTTTTTTCAATACAGTTTACATACATCAGCACAGATTTTATACAATATTATGTAGCACGCTTTGTTGAATTATTTAACCTGGATATCACTGAATTTTATTTTGTCAATATATTTTGTAACTTTCATGTTATATCAAAACCTGTTTACAATTGATACGCATATAATATATTCAGAACAGTTTTGTTTTTGAGAGTTTTCCATGTATAATTATAACACTTGATAAATTAGTTTTGATGTTGGGTCCACGTTGGCCGAGAGGTTAAGTCGTCTGACCTTCATGATCGCTATAGCCTTCCACTACGGGGTTGTGGGTTCCAGACGAAGTTGGGACAGTCGCCAAGTACTGACTGCAGGTCAGTGGTTTTTCTCTGGTAATTCCGGCTTTCCTCCACCACCAAAACCTGGCACGTCCTTAAATGACCCTAGCTGTTAACAGTACCAGTATGTTAACACAAACAAACCAAAAATTAATGTGGAGTTCTACAGAATTCTAAAAAAAAAAAAAATTATAAGTGACCTCTATTTTTGTGATCTTTTTGGTGTTTGCCCAACTCTTAATGATAACATTTCTCTATCCCTACCTAACTTACAGACAGGTCTTTTAGAATTCTTTTCAACAATTTTACTATGAAGAGGACAACACATTGATACAGTATAAAAAGACAAAAGCCAGAAAGCAACCTTTATCATTGGGTTTTCTCTAATTTATACAATGATATTTAGCTCACCTGCACAAAACTACACGTTAGCTTGTTGTATGGTGTGTCAGCCATCGTCGGCCATCAAGGTTTTTTTTGAACAGTTTTTAATTGAAAACTTAACCTACCCAGGTTCGTGATATTTGGTTTATAGGTACCTGGGTTCGTGATATTTGGTTTATAGGTACCCAGGTTCGTGATATTTGGTTTATAGGTACCTGGGTTGGGATGCTTTAAAGTGTCTTCAAATAAATGACAATAATTCTATTTCAAAAGAAGTGAATTCTTGTATTGAGGTGAAAGGCCGTCTTTGAGAGCAAGTGGGGATCAAATTTCAACATGTGTTACTAAGGGTAAAACAATTTGATATACTTCTCAGATTCAAGACTGCCTATATGTTTATGATATTTGACCTCAGGTAAAGAACTATAAAGGTTTCTTAAATAAATGACCTTGACATGTTTCCAATGTAACTGGGGTCAAGTATGTTGAAAATTTCAACTTTTTCTTTAAGTCTAGAAGTTGCAGATGTATTTGACATTTTGCTGTCGACAGCTGTTAGGATAATATAGCAACTAGTTAGTATACATAAACAAAACACTTAGTTTACACATAATATAGGACCAGGTGGGAACTGTATGCCATCTTGTTATAAAGGACCAGGTGGGCACTGTAGGCCATCTTGTTATAAAGGACCAGGTGGGCCCTGTAGGCCATCTTGTTATAAAGGATCAGATGGGAACTGTAGGACAACTTGTTATAAAGGACCAGGTGGGCCCTGTAGGACAACTTGTTATAAAGGACCAGGTGGGCCCTGTAGGACAACTTGTTATAAAGGATCAGATGGGAACTGTAGGACAACTTGTTATAAAGGACCAGGTGGGCCCTGTAGGCCATCTTGTTATAAAGGACCAGGTGGGAACTGTAGGACAACTTGTTATAAAGGACCAGGTGGGCACTGTAGGCCAACTTGTTATAAAGGACCAGGTGGGCCCTGTAGGACAACTTGTTATAAAGGACCAGGTGGGCACTGTAGGCCAACTTGTTATTAAAGGACCAGGCCGGCACTGTAGGCCAATTTGTTATAAAGGATCAGGCTGGAACTGTAGGACATCTTGTTATAAAGGATCAGATGGGAACTGTAGGACAACTTGTTATAAAGGACCAGGTGGGCCCTGTAGGCCATCTTGTTATAAAGGACCAGGTGGGAACTGTAGGACAACTTGTTATAAAGGACCAGGTGGGCACTGTAGGCCAACTTGTTATTAAAGGACCAGGCCGGCACTGTAGGCCAATTTGTTATAAAGGATCAGGCTGGAACTGTAGGACAACTTGTTATAAAGGACCAGGTGGGCACTGTAGGCCAACTTGTTATTAAAGGACCAGGCCGGCACTGTAGGCCAATTTGTTATAAAGGATCAGGCTGGAACTGTAGGACAACTTGTTATAAAGGACCAGGTGGGCACTGTAGGCCAACTTGTTATTAAAGGACCAGGCCGGCACTGTAGGCCAATTTGTTATAAAGGATCAGGCTGGAACTGTAGGCCATCTTGTTATAAAGGATCAGATGGGAACTGTAGGACAACTTGTTATAAAGGACCAGGTGGGAACTGTAGGACAACTTGTTATAAAGGACCAGGTGGGCCCTGTAGGACAACTTGTTATAAAGGACCAGGTGGGCCCTGTAGGACAACTTGTTATAAAGGATCAGGTGGGCACTGTAAGCCATCTTGTTATAAAGGACCAGGTGGGAACTGTAGGACAACTTGTTATAAAGGACCAGGTGGGAACTGTAGGACAACTTGTTATAAAGGACCAGGTGGGCACTGTAGGCCAACTTGTTATAAAGGACCAGGTGGGCACTGTAGGCCAACTTGTTATTAAAGGACCAGGCCGGCACTGTAGGCCAATTTGTTATAAAGGATCAGGCTGGAACTGTAGGCCATCTTGTTATAAAGGATCAGATGGGAACTGTAGGACAACTTGTTATAAAGGACCAGGTGGGAACTGTAGGACAACTTGTTATAAAGGACCAGGTGGGCCCTGTAGGCCAACTTGTTATTAAAGGACCAGGCCGGCACTGTAGGCCAATTTGTTATAAAGGATCAGGCTGGAACTGTAGGACAACTTGTTATAAAGGATCAGATGGGAACTGTAGGACAACTTGTTATAAAGGACCAGGTGGGAACTGTAGGACAACTTGTTATAAAGGACCAGGTGGGCACTGTAGGCCAACTTGTTATTAAAGGACCAGGCCGGCACTGTAGGCCAATTTGTTATAAAGGATCAGGCTGGAACTGTAGGACAACTTGTTATAAAGGACCAGGTGGGCACTGAAGGCCATCTTGTTTTAAAGGACCAGGTGGGCCCTGTAGGCCATCTTGTTATAAAGGACCAGATGGGCCCTGAAGGCCAATTTGTTATAAAGGACCAGTTGGGCACTGTAGGCCATCTTGTTATATGGAACTTGAGTGTATCAACAGGATTTGTAAATAGGTTTAAACAGACAGGTTTCAAGTTTTGACAATGAATTAGTTAACATCATAATTAATTTCATGCTTTAATAATCATTTCATCATGTTTTTCAATATTTTGGTGGAAAATTAAATGTATTTTGGGGTTTATTTGTAATGATGGATACATATTTTTTTGCCTCCACTTTTCATGCAAAACAGGTCGGCATGACAGTATCCTACCATTATAGCCATTCACTGTATAGATATAGAATTTTTCAGTTATATGAATGCTATAGGAAATATTTATCGAGAAAGCCTGGAATCTATTGTGGCAAGAAGAAAAATGATGTTTTTGTCCAAAATATTAATTACTTGCATTGTAGTCTGAATTTCCTGTGACCCTAGATTTCACGCAGAGTGAAGCAGTTGACATGGTTGAAACTATGTTCACTGTTGTTTACATAGTGAAACCTGCCGTTAGTGACCACACTCAGGAAGTTGAAAAAAAATGGTCTCTTAACACAGGGGTCTCTTAACACAGGTAATAACACGAGCAGGTGTGACTGCGTATGTTTTGTAAGTGTGTCATTCTACAAATATTATAAACTTTTTACACAGAGACAAACAGACTAAGGGGAACACATGATGGTTTAGCTTAGAAAGGTTTTGTAGTTTATCGTATAATAATAAGTTCAAGTTGTAGGATTGGACTACATGGAAAGGATGACTGATCTGGTTATATAGAGGTATAGTGATCCCTTCACAACAATATATTGTTCAATAGTTATGGTAATTGCACTGGAGGTATGTAATACGGCTGAGGGGAGAATCATGTGATAGTTTGTGTTTTTTATCGCGAGAGATATACCACATTTGAGGCCTGTTAATCCAGTGCCCTTTACAGCCAGTGTTTTGGGGAACATGAAGCTCTTTTCTATTAAATGTTGATCTTGTTACCCAGCCCTCTCACTTGTTTGGAACAAAGTTGTGACTAGTGATAGGTTAACAGGGTGTCACTGTGTACAGGGTGTTACTGTGTTAAAATGTTGGAGATTTGTCATATTTTAGAAACCATATAAAATGCAATAAAGAATACTTGAAATTGATATGTTGGTGTTTATTTGTATTTATTTCTAAAAATAAAGTGCAGGGTAAGGGTGAGGAGGTCACAGATGTTTAAAGTCACAATACCTAGCCTGCAGATTGCTGGCATATAGTACTATAAATAGTGCAAAAAGAAATCACCTTGGTCAGTTTCAAGGTGATGTTATTGAAATATGTTTAAACAATCTAACTGTATCTCCTGCAACGCAATCATACAACATACAGAATCTTGAACAAAGGTAGGTTATTGCTGCCAATGAGCGCTAAAAAGTTTTAAGAAAATAAATTACCCTCAACTATGTTCATGGTTACACAAGGGGTCAATCTGTTCAAACGCTCAAACGACCATCTCAAGGTCATGATTTATAGCCAGTAGATTGCCGTCATAAAGATGGAGAAAAAATGACCTAGCAAGAATTGCTTCATAAGATTCCAATATGATAAAACACTAACACCTTCTTAAGGACCAAATATGATAAAACACTCCAACACCTTCTTAAGGACCAAATATGATAAAACACTCCAACACCTTCTTAAGGACCAAATATGATAAAACACTCCAACACCTTCTAAAGGACCAAAT